ACAAAAAATGTTCAGGACACATTTCTCTATCTGCTCTGATAATTTGAGAAAAATCTGTGACAGTGCATTGAGCACGCTATGCTGGAAAAGTGCGTTTCTATCGTGCACTGCCTCATATATATCAATGATAGATATTCTCTTTTTCTCTTTTGTCGTGTGAAGAAAGAGGAAAAGTCAATGCAGCATTGTTTCATTCACCATTTTATTCTTTCAACACTTTTTTAAAATTCTTTTTTCTATCTCGTTCTTTTACGTCACATATATCGCAATGTTTACACACGCATATCTTGTGCTAGACGAGATATCTCCAATTTTGCTAGATGCCTATTCTCTATCTGGCGAGCTTGCTTTTGTATCTTCTACTCCATCGTTCTTCAGTGGCACACGCACCAGTCATCATGCAATCGTTAGTGCTTATCCCCTAATCCTTACTTTCATAACAACACTGTGTCAATATCTTCAAAAATTGGATTTTTTTGTTACTCATCTCTACTTTCTTCTCTTTTCTTTTCTTTATTATATCTCATTTAATGTATATGTGTCTTTGTTATGTAACAATGGAAGCGTTTGCACACCTATGTAATGGCTTTAGTCGCTTTGAGTATAATAACATCTCAGTAATAGTGCTCAAAGTAACAACTGAATATTATTAAACTGATGACAAACGTTTCATTTTACTTTTTTTTAAACTCAATGTTCCATTATAAAAACAAAAAATATCAAGAGAATTACGTGCTGATCCCAAACAAACCTAGAAACGTTTTGATTGTGCTTTTCACACACAGAGAAAGGAGACAACTAAACCACAAAAAAAGAGTAACGGTGATAAAAAGAAAGAAAAAAAATCCACAAAAGATATGAAGACATTCAAGAACATTGTCAGTATTGAAGGCCAACAAAAAGAATGAAAACTTTTAGTGTAAATGCGGCTGCAACGCTCTAACTTTATTCAACCTAATTACGAGTTTATTATTTAAAAGTACTTAATTATGTTGAACAAAGTTAAGAGCGTTGCAGTCGCATTTACACTAAAACTTTTACATAAAGACAGCCTCTTGTCAAAAGAAAGCTTAGGCATGTATGATCAGAGAACAGTAGGAAAATTGAACTTATTTATGTGCGATTAAGAGGAACATCTTTAAATATAATTCACAATTTACAATGTCGAATATGAAGAGTTATTTATCATCATGCAAATTGTTGCACCAGGATAATTTTAACGTTATCTACATTATAATAGGATAATAAGAATGCTAAGAGACACCGTACTCGATGTGATATTCTTTCAAGTAATCTTTTGACTACACGTTTCTAGTGTTGGTCGTGCCATGGCCTTATTTAATAGTCGTTTGACTGTTTATTTATTGTCGTGATCAACTACAGAAACTCGCTGTGGAACTAAACGTTTCAATACATAATATCTATTCAATAAGTGTCCGTACTTGTACATAAGAAAATAACGTTATAAACGAAGGTATACTACCAGAACGACAAAATGTAATAATAAAAAATGCCTAGTGCCTACAATAAAAACCATTGCCATATCATCCGAAGGGTGCAACGATGAGCAATCGTCTCGGGTATTAAGGTGCCGGCAATGCAAAAATGTAGCAAATTTCTGTTAAGTGAAAAAATTTCGAAATATTTAAATTTCACAATCTGGTGAATTTTAGCTAAATTTTCAAAAAAAATGAGAAGCAACCAAAATTTTCATAGATGCTATGCATATTGTTTTTAAAACTATTTTATTCTGATTTCCCATGTGAAACTGACTAAAAAAAGCTCAATTTGAGATTAATAAAACTTGAAATACTAAGAAATTTGTTAAACACGAGCAAAACTGATCAATCTCTTAAGAGGCAGATTAATAATATAATCAAGGCAGATATTCTAAGAGAAACAGCTTTCAAACAATAGAACAGAGCCTTCGTTGTGTAGATATGTTATACTGTAAAGGTTTATTATCATAAATTACTATAACAGAACGGTAAAAAAGCTTTACCTCATCTTGTTTGCCGTATTCTCTGTTGAGTATTATTTTCGTTGTCACTTCTTTTTCTTCAAACTGTTATGGCAACATGCACATGAATTAATAATACGTTTCTTTTCTCACATATAAGGCATAGAATCGAGAAGAGTGCAGTCACTATAATATTACTTATAAAAACGGAAACTTCAAATGACTAATGAAACTTTGTGTTTTATGTGTAATAAAACCCAGTGTATTATCCAATGTTCTGGATGTGACTTGTTTTACTGTCGTCGATGCTTCAATAATCATCGTCAGCATATTGAGAATGATTTTGTTCATCTATACTACGTTGAACGTGATCAGTTTCAATATGAAATGAATATACGACTGGATGAAAGCAAAAATGTTAACCAGTTATTGAATGCAGTCGACGTATGGGAACATGAAACAATTATTGCTGTTAGAAAATCAGCCCAGAAAGCACGTTTAAATGTTCAAAATTCAACTGAAATTTATCATACCACAATTCGAACTAATTTCAATCAATTTACAAATGAACTGTCATATCGTCACGAACATAAAGATTATACAGAGAGGACAATTGCACAACTCTACAGGCAATTGAACGAACTAAAAGTAAAGATTGATGATGAAAAATATGCCATCCGATTAGTTAAACAAGATTTATCAAATATGCTGAATATTGTCATTGTCGAAAATTCGCATGAAAAGCACCAAGACAATAGCAAAGCGCTTGTCAAACTTGATAGAATAGACATCCAGCCTTCTATAGATATCAACATCATTTTGACAGTCGTCATTGCTTTCCATAATAATCGACGGAAGGAAGAATACAATAATGATATGAGCAAGCCTAATCATTTTCTGACCTTGGAGGAACCACCTTAGAAATACTGAAATAGCAACGTCAATTCTCTGATTGAAAATTTTGTAACTTCGTCTGATCTTACTTTTTCTAATTGTGCAAACTTTCAAGGACTTGTCCGATTTCCGAAGGAAATAGAACTTCGAGGTAAATGTATGTCATGTGCTATTTATATTTTGACAAAAAAGGCATGTTACAGACGCAGTTGTCTTTTTGAATGAAATGAAATAATGCCCTTGGATACTCATTGATACCTAAAGAATCAGCGTCTATAGCGAACAAAACATTAGTCTTGACAACTTTATGCTCGTTCACATAAGTTCTTTTCCGCAGTGATTCTTACTATTTAAAAATAATGTCATGCACAAGAATTTTCCAAACGTATCAACGAACTGTGTCATAACCCGGTGAAGTTTGCTTTTCCCAAGCAAACATCACCTATGGGAAAAATCTAGATACATTTCGTCTGTAATCGAACGATACACGACTAATTGCTCTAGATTACTAATTGGAAAAGGGACTTTTAACTAATTGCGTCTGTATGTGGATCTGACAATAGTTAAATCGATCGATTATCGGTCGCGCTATCCAATAGTTGCAATCGGGTAAAAATCTAGTAATCTAGATGAATCGGGCTTGGGTTCGAGAAATGGAATCTCTACTTCAATAAGCTTTTCGTATTCACAGAAAGAAAACGCCGATCTCTTACTGTTGGACTAAGTCAGCAGTCATTTGCGTGCTTCGCATAGTAATACTCATTTCCAGAAAGACATTTGTTCGCCGTTAGTTCAAAGAACAGCAGAAAGGGTAGTGCTTTCAATATTTTATAAAGCGAAAGAAGATATAATACAACTTAAGATACAGATTCAATTTATTAGGTGTTTTGCTGAGAACTAGTTCTAGTATAATCGGATGGTGTAAAAAAAGACTGCAAAAGAATATTTAATTAAAATATATTATTTACACAGATCGTTCGTTTACAAAATGTTCTGTTGTAAAAAAGTTACTTCTTTTCTGTGATTTGACCAACTTTTCTTGACATTACCAACGATGTATCCATCTCATCAGCAGTAGTAAACAAACCCACCTGAAGATATTGATAGAACAAATGCTGTGTTCTTGAAACGTATGGCGTTCTAGACTTCGACGAGTCGCCCAACCAGTTGTTCGAGGGGTACTTCGAGTGCTCGGAAATATGCTTTCGATGGGCCTTCGTCGAGGGCTCCAGCCCTCGGAAAATGACACTTCGATATAAGCTTTCGAAGAGGACTTCTGGGCCATAATCACACCCTCGAAAGAGCGACGGTTCGAGAGTCCCAACATCTCTGTTCGACGACTGGAAATTTTTCTCGAAGGCTCGCTGCCTATCTGAAATCCGAGGGCTCGAAATCGATACCCCTCGAAAGCTTATATCGAGGATCCGAAGTGTCATTTTCTGAGGGTTCGAGCCCTCAACCAGGACCACTCACCGCGCCCCTCGAATGACTTGTTTTAATCTGCATGGGCGTATCAAGAGCATCTGTTTCCACCTAATATTAAAAACGTCACTATTCAGTTAGAAGACACCAGAGCTCCAGGATAAGACTATTTTTATCCATAGGCATAATTATGCGGTCGAAAGTATTGAACAAGCATGATTTTTGTTCATAGGCTTTATAGGAACTCTTCCAGCTGTTATGTGTCAAATTAAACTTATGTTGAATTTAGTAGAGAAAACGTAGTTTATTTCTAGATCTAGATTATTAAGAAAGTGTCTGTTTTTTTTCCGTTTTTGAATCGGTTAGCGTTTAGAAAATTAAAAAGAACTTGCTCTAAAACCGATATTGCAAACTTATGGTCCAGAACAAAAAACATTTCGAACAACTGATACATCTGGATATGCGTTTGGCACAATATTATCACAAGTAGATAAAAGTGATGGTGAACGGTACATGCAATTAGAATCCGCCGATGTTATCTGAAAGGAGTACAACTGATACTTCTAACAACTAAAGCTGAAGGTGTCAAATCTATTGTTAGAACAGACAATCATAGTTTACAACATCTAATGACACAACAATTATTGAACATACGTCATGTTCGTTGAGTGGAAGAATTACAACAATATTCATAACCTAGCAACCAGTACCGAGGAGCTGATGGATTAATAAGATTAAAGCATCTTTTGGATAACAGAAAAGATGTGAATGATTTAGAAGATGATGTACCACCGATACTATTATCAATGGCAACCGATAATGTTGGTGATGCCGATTCCTATTCGCCATCGCTAATTCGTAGCTATATCATGAATAACAAAATTGTAAACACGGATTTAACAGCTAAACAGAAAGATAAAATAATGAAATAGACATCGAGTATAGTGGCCAGGAATTAATGATGATGTTTAGATGATTGTGCAACAGTGTGCCGATTGTCAGAATTATAGGACCGATCATCATGATGGAAAATTACAGCTATTACCAATAGCAAGTCCGGGAATTGGTTTCCTTGAGCAATGTCTCATAACTGTAACGGGCAAAAGATGAATCCTTTCAGCTGGCAACCATGCTGCTAAGTGGCCGATAGCAAAAGCATTAGTTGAAGCCACAGCAAAAAACGTGGCATGATTTATTTAGGAAGAAATTGTTGTACAGCTTGGTTATCCATCAGAAATAATTAGTGACTGGGGAAAATTATTCATAGCTGAAGCTTAAAACAATACATACACCTACAACAAAATCATCATCATTATCATTATCATTCATCAACGTTTCATCTGAAAACACATGGCATGACCAAACGCTTCAATAGCCTATTTATTTCGATGTTAACTAAATATGTGAAAGGATCCACAAATAAATGAGACCAGTTTGTTCCACAAGTACTGTTTTCGACGCATTCAACTACAAAAGAAATTTCATTCTATTCAGTTTATGGAAAAGATCCGATTATACCGGATGATTATCATCTACCGTATATTTATGACGAAAATAACGAAGCTGATATGAGAGAATATCGAGCTAGAGATGTGCAGGGCAGTTGATTTTTGTGCTCTGAGTCCTGCCCTTTAATAACCTGAATCTGTCCAGCTCTGTACAATTTATGACGTAGTCCTGCTCTGCTCTATGGCTTTGGAGCCTTGTACTGCCCTATGAAATTTCTTGAATCCTGCTCATTTTTCAACGTGGTATGTGGTTATTTAATTCTACCAGAAACACATGTATAACAATTATGTTTCATGTCTAAAATTTCATAATAATAGAATATAGTCGACAACTTCGGTACTTAAACGTTGGCATCGTTGTTCTAATATTCTCCCACTCCACCTGAAGTTCTGAAGTCGTCTTTTAACAAATCGTATTCCTTTTCCCTTGTCGCTAGAAATAAGTGTTGTGCTTTGTTGATCAGTGGCAACAAAATTGTTTTAGAAAAGACTTATGCGCTGTCCTGCCACAGGAACCTTGAGACCTAGTGCTGCCTGCTCTCATTAGGAGAGAGGTTGAAAAATCGACATTTTTTGCGCCAGACGGATCGAGCTGAAATTTTGGGAAATATATAGTGACTGTCACTTACACATTTTCTTAAAGTATGTGAAAGAAAACATATATAGTGGTTGCAAAGATAATTATTTTTGTCGTTGACGGTAAGCGAGTAGCGGTTATTTTTATTGAACATAGCGCTGTTGAACTTGAGTAATTTTTTTGAAGAAAAAACAGTGTCTAGCATGATTCTTGATGATTGAAAGCTTTTTAGAAAATATAAGTGGGCCTCACTAGGCTTTTTGAGTGAACTTTGAGTGAGTATAGTTCGTCTTATTGCTTAGTAACACAAGAGAAGTCACCCTAAATGGCAATTTTATACCGTATAAGCAACAGAAACGAGAAAATATAGTTCAGCTATGGAGATCAACGGTACCGCTTTCAATTTCCTCTCTGCTGTTCGTATTATTTTTTCTTTTTCTTTTTCTTTTATACGCACGTGAATAGACTATCGAAGAGAGTGATAAAAGAAAAACTTTGATAGTATCATGGAAATATTCATCCAACTTTTACCCTACATATCACCGGAAAAAAAATAAAGTTCGTTTAGAGTTGCTGAAAAGTGGTTTTTCGTATTCAGCACACTCGATAACCCAGAAGATTTTCTATTTTTGGCTCGGGGTACTTCCGAAAGTTTAGGAAAA